GTCCTGGCACTTGATGCTTTCTCAGCTAGGAACATTTTGCACTTGACCTATGTCTCTTGGCTTTAGTTACACAGTAAAACCATCTGCATTCCAGGCCACATCCCAAACCAATCAATTCAGATTCTCAGGAGTGGGACCCAGGCAACAAAGTGGTTTTGGTTTGGGTTGCTTATTTGTTTCCAAGCTTCCCAGGTGGTCTCCTGCACAGAGAACCAGGGTGGCTTCCCCTGGTGGCACCTCTCCAACATTCAGGGCACAGTTTAAATGTCACTTCCTGGGAGAAAAAATGATTGCACTACTTTTAAAGCTAGATAACTGGTAGAGTTTAATAATAAAATTAAAAGCAAAAGACAAGTACAAAATGACATCAAATTTGTAAACACAAAGATGGTGAGTATGAGATGGCATACACCGAAAAGACAGCATAGCAATAGAAAAGCAGATGGAATTTAAATTTCAGTTTGCCCACTGGCCAACTGTGATCCGACAGCCGTTCCTGGCTCTCTCTGAGCTTGTATGAAAAGCAGATGAACATACCCACCTTGAAGAGTTTTTTTAAGAAATAACAAGACCACACCTGGCACATAATGAACACTAGGTAAATGGTATTAGCCATGATTAAGTAACAAATGGTTTGTTGAAGCAGTAATGTTTCAGAACTTTAAAAATGTAGAAAATGTCAAATGTCTGGGGATCAGAGAGGGCTTCTCCAAGTAAGTGGAATTTTACTTTTGTCTTAAAGTAAAGCTAGAATTTGGGCAAGTGGAGAGAATGGTGCGAGTTGCGAGCGGTACCCCCAGGAGCAACAAAGGTTAGAAGAAGAATTTTGCAGAGTGCATTTGGCGAAGAGGGAGTTAAACAAGAAGAAAGAGCTTGCCCGGGAAGACAGTGCAGCCCCATGGCAGGGTGGGTGAACCTTCTGTTTTCTGTCATACAGCATCTTTTTAGCACTGGCATTTCCCTGAATTAAATTGTGTGGAAGAGTAAGTCTCTGATTGGAAGCAGATCCATCAGGCATAGAGGCAGAGAGGTGGGGGTGGTAGGAGACACTGCCTTCGACAGGAGCTTGTGTGACCCATTGGAGGCTGACTCTGGGCCATGAACTGGCCAACCGAAAGGAAGCAGGCTTGTAAGTTTTCCCAGGGACAGACCACAAACCAGTTCTGCTGCCCGTGGTGCTCCCAAGGGAAACCTCAGCAACCCTCAGCGGGTGGGAGACCAGCTCTGTGTGAGTCAAGGTTCTCAGTTGCAGGTCAGGCTCCTGCCACCAAGGAACGTTCAACGAAGGATCTACTAAAAAAGGGCAGGCAGAGTTAAGGGACCAACAAGAGATGGATGTGGGAAGGAAAAGAGCTGCAGGAGTCCTGAGAGGGATGGCCACCCCGCAGCCCACAGCAGTGAGCTGGGGAAACAGACTCCCCAGTCCCTCTGCTTGTCGGTCCTCTTCTGCAGGTAACTTCCCATTGGCCAAGCCCGAGTGAGAAGCCAGAGGACAAGGCATCCGTAGATGCAGTCCATACACGCCAGTCTCTGGGGCGCAGACAGGGATGGAGATGTGCAGAGAGTGGATCTGGTATATCCAGCAGGGGGAACAATCTTACAGAAAACAAGCCCACAGAAGGGGCTGATTACCCGCTGGCATCCGATGCTGGTAAAGATTGAAGGCAAAAGGAGAAGGGAGCGGCAGAGGATGAAATGGTTATAGCATCACTGATTGAATGGATGTGAATGTGAGCAAACTCCAAGAGATGCTGAAGGACAGGGAAGCCTGGCGTGCTGCAGTCCATGGGGGTCGCAGAGAGTGGACACGACTTAGTGACTGAACAAGAACAATCCTCCGGGGATCCCCCTTAGTGGGCCTCCTCCTCCTGTCTCTCTGCCTCCCACCTCCACCCCTGCACACAAAACTGATCATCCGCCTTACCAACTGCACCTCCTAGTATCTCTCAAAAATATACTCAGCTCACACCATATACCTAATTCCATAGGGATGAAAGATTTATGGTTTTACTTCTTACAGCTAATAGTACTGGATGAAAAACCTCACTGGATATTTATATAACCATGGAGTAAACGGAGGACTTCTCAAACGTGACCTTAAAGGCAAAACCACAGAGAAGACTGACAGACTGTACGACACAAAAATTAGGAAATTCCATTCGACAAAACCCACTATAAAAGAAGTGGAGGAGGCATCCAAAAAATAACCAGAACAACATTCAAACAACAGAATAAGAAAGTATCTTTTTAGCAAATTTAAATAAAAGGAGTACTGTCTAAATATATAAAGGTATCATACAAATAGATAAGAACTGACCCAAATTGGGGGAGAGCAGAGGAGCTAAGAAGAAAACTGAACAAAGAAAATGCTGTGAAAATAAAAATAGATGCAAAAAAAATAAAAAAATAAAAATAGATGCATAGGCAAAGGACATAAACATGATAAAGGAGGAAAAACAACTTGATAATAGCATATGGAAAACATGTTTAATTACTCAATCCAAGAAATACACATTTAAACAAGAAACCCTTTCTCCAATCAAATCCACCAAGATTGTTCTTAATGAAATACTTGGTACAGGCAGGGGTGCATTAAAAAGAACCCTCATGATGGCTTCTTTGTTGTTATTTAGTCGATAAGTCATGTCAGACTTTTGTGACCCCATGGATTGTAGCCTCTGTCTTTGGGATGTCCCAGGCAAGAATACCGGAGTGGGTTGCCATTTCCTTCTCCAGGGGATCTTCCCGACCCAGGGGCTGAACCCACAACTCCTGCATTGCCAGGTGGATTCTTTGCCACTGAGCCACCAGAGAAAGTCCAAGTTATTATGGTCTTAAAAAGCAAATTGGCAGTTCAGTGTTGAGAAACTTTTAACCCTCGTCCCCCTTAACCTCACTTGAAAATGCTGGGGATTTTGACTTGCTAGAATCTACTCAAACACTCTCCTGCTCACAAAGTGCAAGCACCTCAATACGGCGTGTACTTTCCAAGTTCCATCACCCTCACCTCCCAGACACTTGCCACTCCATCAGTGTGAAGTTCCTTTCCTTGGCATATGCCCTGCTCTGCACTTTCCCGTCTGCCTTCCTCCACGTAGCTTGGCTGGCTCTGCTTACTCTTTTGGAAGCCGCTAAGTTGTCAGTGGGTGTTCTCAGATCACCTGCCAAAGTGATTTAGTTTTCCCTTGTCCACGTATCCGTAACACCCAGTGTATATAGTTTTACTAATAATTTACACACTTGTTTACATATATTACATACCTCTATTTACATGTCAATCTCCACCATCTTGGTTTCTCCCTCTGTATCCCCTGTACTGGTGATTTTCAAGTAGAGGCACTTCTGTCACCCAGAGGAACATTTAGCAAATGCCTAGAGACATTTTGGGTGGCCAGAACTGGGGGAAAATGACGATGCTACTGAACACCCTACAATGTACAGGGAAGTCCCACAACGAAGAATTATCCATGCATATATATATATATATATATATATATATATATATATATATAGTTGTTTATTTGTCCAATCGTATCTGACTCTTTGCGATCCTTGGACTGCGGCATGCCAGGCCTCTCTGTCCCTCACCATATTCCAGTTTGCCCAAGTTCATGTCCACTGCATCAGTGATGCCTTCCAGCCATCTCATCCTCTGACACCCTCTTCTCCTTCTGCCCTCAATTTTTACCAGCATCAGGGACTTTTCAAATGAGTCAGCGGCTTGCATCAGGTGACCAAAACACTGGAGCTTCAGCTTCTGTCAGTCCTACCAATGAATATTCAGGGTTGACTTCCCTTAGGACTGACTGGTTTGATCTCCTTGCTGTCCAAGGCACTCTCAGGACTCGTCTCCAGCACCACAGTTTGGAGGCATCAATTCTCTCGCGCTCTGCCTTCTTTACAGTCCAGCTCTCATAACTACACGAGACCACCAGAAGACCATAGCCTTACTATACGGACCTTAGTTGGCACAGTAACGTCTGCTTTTCAACACACTGTTTAGGTTTGTCATAGCTTTCCTGCCGAGAAGTAATCGTCTTCTGAGTTCATGGCTGCAGTCACCATCTGCAGTGACTTTAGGACCCAAGAGGAAATCTGTCACTAATTCCACCGTTTCCCCTTCTATTTGCCATGAAGTAATGGGACTGGATGCCCATGATTTTAATTTTTTTAATATTTAGTTTTAAGCAGGCTCTTTCACTCTCTTCCTTCACCCTCATCAACAGGCTCTTTAGTTCCTCTTCACTTTCTGCCATCAGAGTGATTATCATCTGCTAGTCTGAGTTTATTGATGTTCCTCCTGCCTATCTTGATTCTAGCTTGTAACTCATCCAGCCTGGCATTTCTCATCATGTGCTCAGTATATAGGTTAAATAAACAGGGTGACAGCAGACAGCCCTGTTTTACTCCTTTCCTAAACCAATCAGTTGTTTCGTACAGGGTCCTAATTGTTGCTCCTTTATATATATATATATATATATATATATATATACATATATATATATATATACACACACACACACAATTATGTATATATGTATGTGTATATATATAATGAACAAGCCCAATTTCTTCTTCCATACAATGGTTGTGATCATGTCAGAAGGTTGCAGGGAGGATTAAGAGACAACATATGAACAGTGTCCGCTACAAAGTTGATACTCCATCAGTCAGTATTAATTCATCCTAAGTGCATAAATTAAAAATACAGACCCAGGATGTTTTGTTCCTAAAATAATAGCTCATTTCATAAACTGTTTCATTTTATAGCTGAGATGTCCATCTTTAAAGGATAATGATTGCCTAAATAGTTGGCATCTAGTTTCTAGTTTACTGGCACATCATGTTTTAACTGTATGCATAAGGAATCAGAAGCTGAGGCTTGTAAAACAAATAATTATCTTTTTTGACTTATAGATACAATTTCATTGGCATGTATAAAAATTTTCTTCAAAATAGCTAGAATACTAATAGAACAATGATTCAATTGAATAATGTTAGCAGAAATTTCACAGGGATTTATTTTGAAATTACATTTTTGGCATTTATGCCAAAATAGGCAAATGTATTAAAATACAAAGTTAAACAAATAATACATTTTTTTTGACTGCAGGAGAGATATAGTCAGAATCCAGAATAACACTTTAAATAGTTTGTCATAATACACAATCCACTCAAATACTAACAAGTTTTCTGGAATCTATGCTAAAAATTAACAACTTTGTAACGATTCAGTTCTTCCTCCTTGCTCAGTTGTTAACACATACAAAGAATATTCTTAGCAAAATATAGTTGAGAGGCACCATCTGACCTGAGATCTTAGATTATAACATGTTGTGGCTTTTAATATGAACACCAGTATAACCAGAATTTAAACAAATTATGGCAAATAAATTAAAATATATGTATTTTAACATCTTTAGACTTTATTAGGTGTTCCTTATACAGTCATCTGGTATGTTTAAAGAGTGAGCAATCATATAAAAGGAAATACGGTCAAAACTGATTGAAGTAATAAAATCCTGAAACTAAATAACATCTCATAATTCATTGCACAGCATATATTAGATTTCATTACATCAGTATATAGCTTAGTAGTAAATTCTCCTGATGGCCATAAACCTCATAAGGTGTTGTCATCCTGAAAAATGAAGGGGAGGGAGTCAGGGGTCCAGAATGGATAAATCTTCAGTAGTGGTGGTGCTGTGTCCCTTTTAAGTAGTCAAGCTGTAGTGCATCACCACCTAGTGGCTGAATCTAGTACCTCACTCAAGAAAGGAATCTTTTGCCTGTTTAAAGTGAAACGTTGGTCAAAATTTTATCTCACTCTGATAAAAAATATGTCGGATGTACACACCCACTTTTGATAGTCTCAGGAATTTTAACTACAGGCATACCTCCTTTATTCGACTTCACTTTTTTTTTTTTTTTTTTACAAATGGGAGGTTTGTGGCAACCCTGTGTCTGGCATGTTTACTGGTGCCAATTTCCAACAGCATTTGGAACTCATGTCTTTGTGACATTTTGGCAATTCTTGAAATATTTCAAACTTATTGTATTTGTTATGGTGATCAGTGATTTCTGATGTTATTAGCACAACTTGCTGAAGGCTTAAACGATGGTTGATTTTTTAGCAAAAAAGTATATTTTAGTTAAGGTACATACGTTGGTTTTTTAAAGCACAGTGCTATTATACACTTAATTGCACAGTTGTTAATTTTTACATGCACTGGAAAACCAAAAACTGTGTGACTCACTTTATTATAGTATTTGCTGTATTGTGGTGGTCTGGATTTGAACTCACTATATCTCTGGGGCATGCCTCTGTAATACAAAAATTGTTTTTCACACTGTTTTGTTTTACAAGGTAAGATCCCAATCAGAGATGGTCTACCACACAGAGCACTAGCTTGTGGAAGACTGTAGACTGCAGGTTCCACAATTCCTTTCCCTACTTGCTGTGGCTCTGTGTTCTCACTTTCACCAAAATGTTTTAGAATTTAGGGGTGGGAATGATGACATTATAGAATGGTTCTAACATGTATTAAAAGAAATCGGACTACAGCTTTACTTTTAAATAGCATTACTATCCAATGCTTACAATAGATATTTTTTTTTTTTTGGCTGCACCCCTAAGTATGTAGAATCTTAGGTTCCCTGACCAAGGGATGAACCTGTGCCCCCTGCAATGGAAGCGTGGCATCTTAACCACCGAACTGCCAGGGGAATCCCACAATAGACTTTAATGATCATTTCCTAAGTGGAAAAGTCACTGGGAGTTGGAAAAAGTGTCTCACCTATTGTCTACTTTTTATTTTCTGATATATATAACAGGAGCACATATATATATAACTTATACAGACCCACATTGGGATTAATATACATACTTTTTTTTAAAAGATAGGATGCAAATTTATTTGGACAACAGTGGTTGATAATGGCTCTTTCCCAATCCTGGCAAACTAGGAGGTGAATCCTCTCCCCCTTCATTCAGTAACTTTCAAAGTCTGAGAGCCAGTCTGCGCCACAGTTTATATATGTTACGCTAAGTCGTTTCAGTCGTGTCTGACTTTGTGATCTTATGGATTGCAGTCCGCCAGGATCCTCTGTCCAAGGCAATTCTCCAGGCAAGAATTTGGACGGAGTGGGTTGCCATTTACTTCTCCAGGGGACCTTCCCAACCCAGGGACTGAACTCGCATCTCTTATGTCTCCTGCACTGGCAAGAGGATTCTTTACGACTAGCGCCACCTGGGAAGCCCTGCGCTATTTACTTCAGATAAAGTCCCTGGTGCTTGTTTCTTGCTCCATTCCATCCCTGCAAGGGGGGGCCCCGCTGGGGCTTCGAGGTATCTTGCTAATCTACAGTAGCAACATAAATTCAGTAGTTATTCAGACTAAGGTTTAGAATTCCAAAACTTCAACAATAATTATGATATTTATTTAAAGTAATACATTTACAGCCCAGATAGTTCTACATTGTACATTTCAGGTTTAACCAGCTTCATAAAGATACTTGAGAACAGCTGTACCCACAGATTTAGATTACTAAATTACTTCTTTGCCCATTCTTCTCTCTCTTTTCTTTCCCGAATAACCTCTTTCAGATACGGTTCAAGGTAGAATTTATCCTAAAGAATGAAGAAAAGAAAAATATTATATGCCACCATCACATACTGATATATCCCAAATATTCAACAGGTCTTAAACAACAAAAGAAATATATAAAACTTATTTCCAGCTTAAGAAAATATATTCTCAAGCAGACTAAAATCTGTCTGCTTTTTATTGATGTACAATGTCACAAAAATATTGTAATAAGCCATTCTGATAGGTTATCAGAGGGTCTGTTAAAGAGAAAGGAATGAGAGTCTACAAGGTTTGGCCTAGTTTCAATGCAGCCCAAGGGGTGAGGGATCGCTTCAGAGTCCTTTCCAGGAGCCAGAAAGCCACTCAATGGGCCGATCACAGAAACACCACCCTTTCTTCATCCGAGCAGAGCGCAGAGAGAGAAGACCTGGATTCTACTCCTGGATCTCTATCTCAGGGATGTGCTTAATGATTTGGAATGTCATTTCATGTCTAGATCTCAATGTGTTTATCTCTAAAACAGAGCTAACATTTGCTCTACTAACCTCAAGAGACTATCATAAGGATATCAATCTGACACAACTTTAAGAACTCTAAGTGAAGTGAAGTGAAGTCGCTCAGTCGTGTCTGACTCTTTGCAACCCCACGGACTGCAGCCTACCAGGCTCCTCTGTCCACGGGATTTTCCAAGCAAGAATACTGGAGTGGGCTGCCATGCCCTAAAGCACTATCCAAATGAATGTGTTCTTTGTTTCTGATATTGAACCCTTAATGGCCAACCTTATCAAATACACAAAAGCTGTCCTACCTCCTCATATTTTGTCCACTGCTCTTTAGGCAGGATCTGCTGCCTCATGCTGAGGTCCAGTGCTCTCTTAATGCGAAACACTCTGTCGTTATAAAGTTTCTCAGGAAGCCTTCTTATGGCTTCTTTTACATCGTCATTCTCATGTATTGTGTCATCTCGCATTAAGCCTATGGTAAAAAACAAAGTTAGAATGAACATGCATCTTGAAAATAACTTTTTAAAAGATAAGTAAAATTTTGACTTATAACTTAAGTCATTAACTTGGGTGATATATCAAGAAATAATTATGATGGAAACTCAATGCCATTTCATATACAATAATGGGTTATTTAATGGATTATTTCTTAAATGGTACTGTGGAAACAATGAGTCTTTTAAAATATATTTCCACAAAGTTCACATGTTATCTACAGTAATTTTAAAAACATTTAAAATGTCTACCTTGTTTTTAAACATGTACCAATAAACCATGTCTCTACTTTATTACAGTTTGTAATTCTGAGCTCAAGGAATTAAAGAACCTTAAAATGACAGTGTACTAAGGTACCATTAACATTTAATGATGCTTCCATCCAGCTTCAATTACAAAAGATGAAGTTCACCACAAAGTATAAAGTTCTAAAAAAAAAAGTTCAGAAAACAACTAACTGTAAAGATGGCAGATAATTTTAACATTTGAAAAATCTCTACTTTCAAAGTTCACATAACTTTAATTTTAAAATGCTAAGGAGAGGAGCTGAGAGAGGGAACATATAATAAGGAAAACATTCTGCTCTCATATTTCAAGAACATAAATCATGTCCACCTCATACATTTGGGACAGTTCCATCCGTCTCTTTTCTCAATAATAAAAAGGAAATGGATTTAACAATAAAATGTGACTTAATTTTAAAATTTAACGTACACAGGTACAAATAGTGAATGTATTCTGAGGATGCATAGTAACTCCTACAAAAGCACTATACTCAGAAAAAGAAGAAAACAGAAGAAAGCACAAATACTCACCCAGTTTATTGAACCCGGCAGCGTTGTAATACCATTTTCGAATACCCTCCAGCCACCTGCTTGATGCTGAAACTGATATTGTCACACTATTAATTGCTAACAATCCCACTTAAGAGAATGCAAACACAGGAAGGAATTTCATTTAAAAGCATATACTCTATATATTGTAGATAAAAACTGCTTACTTTGTCTATCAGCAAAAGTGACTGCAGGTAAAAACTGGACAGTAAGGAAAAAGGATAAACTCAAACACCTGAAAGACCTATAGGTATGATTACAGTCCCTCACTATCTGCAAGGGACTGATTTCAGGATCCCTCAGATATCAAACTCCAAGAGGCTCAGGTCCCCTATATAACATGGTACAGTGTTTGCACATAATCCAAGCACGTCTTCCTACTTTAAATCTTCTCTGGGGTGTGCTTAGTTGCTCAGTCGTGTATGACTCTCTGCGACCCTATATGGATTGTAGCCTGCCAGGCTCCTGTCCCTCAGATTCTCCAGGAAAGAATACTGGAGTGGGTTGCCATTTCCTCCTCCAGACCAGCTTCCCAACCCAGGGATCAAACCCGCATCTCTTGAGTCTCCTGAGGGATTCTTTACTACCACTGCCACCTTAATACAATGTAAGAGCAATGTAAATAGGTGTAAATACAAAATAAATGCTATGTAAATAGATGGCTGAGAGCAGCAAGTTCAAGTTTTGCTTTTTTGAACTTTGTGAAATTTTTTTTTCAAAATATTTTCCACCAGGAGGTTGCTGAATCCTCCAGTGTGGAACCAGTGGATACAGAGAGCTAACTGTACTGCCACTTCAGCTTTTCAAAGTCAAGCATCCCATTCCTTTATCTCCCCTTGCTGCCGTTAGAATTAAAGGAGTGGGGGAAAAGAAACTGAAATTCTCCATCATTTGCAATTTCAGAAACAGTTTACAGGAAATAACTCTAAACTTTTCAAGGGACTTGGAGTTGTATGTAAAGATGAGATTTCAGGATTCACTAGCAGATCTAAATGACCCCCATCTTCCAAAACTTTTATTCTACATTACTTTTATTTCACTTGGCTACTCTCTCTAAAAATATACGTATTTCTGGAAGGGTTTTGATCCCATATGGGCTAGTAAAAGAAGCACATTTCCCTCTTCCCCAGCAGCTAACTTTCCATGGAGGGAATGAATATTTCAAAGTGTATGAGGAGAAACAGGTAATGTTAAAACTCTTTCCGGAACAGAACTGAGCTTGCTGGATTACACAGTAGGAGTCAAAGGCAGCATGACAGTGCCTGATGTTTACAGGAGAGATGTGGTACTGGAGGGGAGGTACGGAAAGTTTAAATTTTCTTTTAAAATTGTGTCTTAGGGATAGTCCCTAACCAAGGAAGGAAAACAAACTCTCCTTTTATTCAACCAGAAATAGGGACCAACAGTTTTTAAAAAACCTGGGGCGGGGGGAAATGTGGGTTCCGTCGCCTGCGACTGAAAAAGCTAGAGGGTGGTTGGGGGGTTGTGTGTGTGCTGAGTCGCCTGAGACTCTTTGCGACCTCACGGACTGTAGCCCACCAGGCTCCACTGTCTATGGAATTTTTCAGGCGAGAATACTGGAGCGGGTTGCCATTTCCTACTCCACAGGATCTTCCCCACGCGCGGTTCCAACCCGCGTATCCTGCACTGGCAGGCGGGTTAGGGACTGACAAAAGGCGGGGCGGGGGAGGAGTGGGGAGGGGACTGTATTTTTTCACGTTGTCTAAATATTCCAGTAATATCTGCGTCCTATTCCATAATAAACACATCTGTTCCAATTCCCAAAATAGATGCAAATGTCTCCAAATCCAAAGACCAAGTGGATGTTCCAGATAAGCCAAGGTTATTAAACTGAAGCTTCGCCGTAACTCACTCACTCAAGCTGCCTCTAATTTCCTGTTTGAGAAGTGCGAGAGAGGTGCAGCGAGGCTTCCAATCCTGTTTCCTCCGGCCACTTGGCCTCAGCTATCTTACTAGCCTACAAGGAAAACTGACACTGTCCCCCTCGCGCTGAGAGAACGGACCTAGCTAACGCACACGACAGCACTTGGCTCTCATTAAACGCTCGGTTCACTTAGGTTGAGAGCCACTAATTATCTCATGGTGCCCTTGAACTTCTTCTAAGGTCGAGAGGAGAAGGGCTCAGAGCTCGAGCATCCGGAGCGCCAGGGCTGTGGGGGCCACCGCGGGCACCTTCACCAACAGCCGGCCCTGGACCCTGAAAGGGGGTGGGCCCAAGACGTCTCTGAGGTTGGCTGGAGCCGCCTCCTTCCCTCCCACCATAAACCTGGCCTTTTAGACAGAGCACAGGGAGAGGAGCAAGTTGTTGAGAGTATAAAAGGTTCAGCGCGGCGATGCCCGCCAGGCAGGCAGCCCCTCACTCACCAGCTGGCCGGCCCGCCATGTTGACCTGACACAGAAGCGTTGCTTCCTGGGTAAGTCCTAGAGGTCGAGCAGGGTCCAGGGCGCAGGCGCGTTGCGTCATTTCGCTAGACGCGTAGGGGGCGGGGAGACGCTCGCGCAGGCGCAGTTCTAGAGGCCAACCTTTGGCCTCTGAGGTCCTGCACCTGTCGGTCACCATTATGCTAATCTTGTAGGCGTGGAGCCGCTACAGATTCCCTGAGACAAGGTGGGAAAAAACACTAGGCGAGGAATTAGAACTGGAGAAGGAAATGGCAACCCGCTCCAGTATTCTCGCCTGGAGAATCCCATAGACAGAGGAGCCGACGGTCCATAGGATCGCAGAGCCAGATACGACTGAAGTGACTTGACACGCACACAGGCAAGGAATTAGAACACCAGATCTTTTAGCCTGGCTTCTGTTACTGGCGAGCTCTGAGAGGTTGGGAAGTAATAACTGCGCCCTTTGTGTCAAGCAGCACGCTAAGCGTTTATGGACTTATTTTCATTTCATTCTAAACCTATAAGATAAATACTATGATTGTACCCATTTTAGAGAAGAGGAAACTGAAGCTCCAAAAGGTTGCATAAATTGTCCAAGGGCACTTACACTAGGAGGGATCCAGATTCACCTTCCAGAATCTGAGACTCTAGATAAAATGTTGTTCAGTTGCTAAATCCTGTCTGACTCTTTTGCAACCCCATGGGCTAAAGCCCAGTCAGGCTCCTCTGTCCCTGGAAGTTCTCAGGCAAGAATACTGGAGTGAGTTGCCATTTCCTTCTCCACAGGATTTTCTCGACCCAGGGATCAAACCTGTGTCTGCTGCATTGGCAGCAAGAATCTCTACCACTGAATCACCAGCGAAGCCCCAAAGATACAACTTTGGCACTCTTTAATTCTAGGGCCATATGCTACAACCACTGATCCAGGGGAAACTAACCTTCTCTCACCTTCAGTTTCTCCAGGTGAAGTTCTGCATCAAGCCATTTCAGTGGTAGTCTTGTTGAGAAAAACAATTTAATACTACATTTGAACTGTAGCCGAATTTTAATGCAATTTTAAGGTAAAAGTACATTTTAAAGGTTTCAGTCCAATTTAAGTCTAAAGTATAAAAAACTAGGGACAGCAGGATCACAAATTGTTGAGGTAGAAGAATTTTACTAAAGGTCACAGAACAGAATAATTGGTTTATTTGTGGGTGAGGCAGGCAGAGGAGACAAGTCAGACCGTCTCTTTACACCTTTTATCAAAATAAACTCCAGGTGTATTAAAGAGATTTAAAAGTATTAAAAAAAACACACAACAACAACAAAAACCTTAGAGACAAAACAGTCTGGTTTGGTTACCATGTTTGATGCTTACTGAGTTATTGATGAACTTCTGCACCACTACCATCTTGGGCCACTCAGTCTCTGGTAACAAAATACCATAGACTGAGTAGCTTAAAAAACAAATTTACTTTCTCAGTTCTCTCCAGTTAGAAGCATAAGATCAAGGCACCAGCATGGTCAGTTTCAGTTGAGAGCTCTTTTCCTGGGGCTTATATAGGGCGCCCTTCTTACTGTGCCCTCACATGGCAGAGAGAGCAAGCTCTTTTGTATACCTTACAAGGACACTGATACCATCATGAAGGTCCCATGTTTATAGCTTCATCTAAACATATATTATCTCCCAAAGTTTTGCAGTTTGGGCGGGGGGAGTGGTGATGGAGAGACACAATTCAGTTCATAGCAGCTACCCACCAGAAACCACTTGTTTTCTTCTGTCCTAAGCTAAGACTTGGGGCAGTATAGAATGCCATCTAATTGTAAATTTGAAAAGTTTAATGGTCTTAGTCACAATCCAGGTCTAAAATCTTGTTGGCTTCTACCTTTTTTTTCCCCTCTGTGCCACCACAATTTCTTGTATTACTCAGCGCTATATCCAGTACTAAAAAGGTGATGAATGGCTGCTCCCAGACTACATTAGCCAAAGTGAAGTTGGAAGATAGGAAGAAATGCAGTACATTTGTAAGCTGGCAAATTGCCTTACAAGAACTCAGTAAATTGTTCTCTCTTCTTTATCCTTCAAGTTTGTTTGCTGGTTACAGGGTGAAGGTGGCAAGAGAAGGAAAACCTTTTAAAGGGATCATACCCAGGACTGTCACAAAATCCAGCCCCTAAAGGTATTAAGGATGAATCACAAGCTGGAATCAAGATTGCCCAGAGAAATGTCAACGACCTCAGATATGCAGATGATACTATAATGACAGAAAGTGAAGAGGAACCAAAGAAGCTCTTGAGAGGGGTCAAGAGGAGAGTGAAAAAGTTGGCTTAAAACTCAATATTCAAAAAACTAAGATCATGGCATCTGGTCCCATCACTTCATGGCAAATAGAAGAGGAAAAAGTGGAAGCAGTGGCAGATTTTATTTTCTTGGGCTCCAAAATCACTGTAGATGATGACTGCAGCCATGAAATTAAGACGCCTGCTCCGTGTCAGGAAAGTTATGACAAACCTAGAGCGCATATTTAAAAGCATCCCTTTGCTGATAAAGGTCCATTTGGTCAAAGTTTTGGTTTTTCCAGTAGTCATATGCAGATACTGGACCATAAAGAGCTGGACCATAAAGAAGGCTGAGCACTGAAAACCTGATGCTCTCAAACTGTGGTGCCAGAGAAGACTCGAGAGTCCCTTGGGCAGCAAGGAGATCAAACCAGTCAATCCTAAAGGAAATCAATCCTGAATATTCATTGGAAGGATTGTTGCTGAAGCTGAAGCTCCAATTCTTTGACCACCTGATGGGAAGAGCCGACTCACTGGAAAAGGCTCTGATGCTGGGAAAGACTGAGTTGGTTAGATAGCGTCAGCAACTCAATGGACATGAATTTGAGCAAACTCTGGGAGACATTGGAGGACAGAGAAGTCTGGTGCACTGCAGTCCATGGGGTTGCTGAGTCGGACACGACTTAGTGCTTGAACAATAGGCATTAAGCCCAGAGAGCCTGGACATTTACTGATAGCCATTAGAATTGATTAAAAAAAAATCATTTTTTATTTTCTTTCTGGCATATGGCAGGACTGCACTTCTCCACCCTTAAAGATAGGCTTGCCTATGTGATGCTTTGACCAAGAAAGATGTGAGAAATTTTTAAGAGCAATTTTTCACATTCCTTTCCCCTTCCATAGATGGGCTACATTCCAGGCATGGTTGAAGCTCCACCAACCTCCTTCACTTAGATAATGTGGAACAGAAACTATCTGGCCCCAAGATGGACATGTGTGAGATTAAAAACATCTCTGGTTCTAAATCATACGTGGTTTTAGGGTTGTTCATAACAGCAGCATAGCTAGCCTGTTCTGGTAGGCAGTTAATTAAGGCAAACTGAAGTTCTGAGCCGTAGAAAGACCAGGCAGTTTGGTTCCATGCCATGCCTCCTGGTTGAACCTTCTTTCACGTTCCCTGTTTATTTTTTTAAAATAATTTATTATTGGTTGCACTGGGTCTTCATTGTTGTGAGTGGGCTTTTTCTAGTTGTGGAGAGCATGGGCTTCTCTTGTTGCAGAGCCCAGGTTCTACGGCTCCCAGGCTATAGACTGTGGGCTTAGTAGTTGTGGCGCGTGGGCTTAATTGCTCTACTGCATGTATCTTCCCGGACCAGGGATTGAACCTGTGTCCCCTGCATTAGCAGGCAGACTCTTATCCACTGTACCACCAGAGAAGTCCCTGTGTTCCCTGTTTTTTGAGCTCATCTGTTAGAGAACTCCATGAAGACATGGATCTCTGCCACACTCACCACTGTATCCTAATCTGTTGAGGGAATGAGTAAAATACATTAATAGGAAGACCCCGATCAATTACGAGCTTAGTTTCTCAGTTTCAGGACATTCAGCACACAGAACCCCAATGCACAACGATCCATCCCTAAAGTTGGTCGTTTTAAAACACCGTTGCTCCCAGTTCGGAATTTGGCTGAGTGGCTCTCCACGTGGACCCTGCTGAGGCTGCGATACCCAACATGGCCTCTTCACTCCCTTTTGTGGTGCTCGGGGGGCAGAGCTGGCACAACTGAGGTGTGGTCAGGGATCATTCCACCTCATTTCTCCACGAGACTCACCAGACTTTTTCCATCCTGGCTCAGGGCTCCAGGTGGACAAGCACAGATGTACACGTGTCCCATGAACCACTGTGACCAACCAGAATGCGCCGCCTGAGACAGCGTGGGAGTGGACTACAACTGGAGCGCAAATACCAGTGTGGCTTCCTGGGGGCCACCAGCGTCAACAGTCTACTCACTCTCGTGACCCTAAGGCAGATACCTGAAGTCATGATGCCTCATCTCACAAATAATCAGATCCTGTCCCCAGGATCACATGTCTAAATGGGAAACAGGAAAAAAAAGTATCATTTCATGCTAAATCTCTATACCCCGGCCATAAGACAAAGGCTTGTTATGTGGCCTTTCACTACATCTCATTGCTGTCCTTCAAACGACTTTCCTATCCCCTTTTCTTTCCAGATTTTCAGTAGCCAACTGTGGGCAACTTTCAATATCTTTCTTTGCTCAGGAACATAACAGTGTATATAAACCAAAATCGAATGTGTTCTGTAGCAAAATCTAAGGGAGTAGTAGATACTAGATGGATAATATGGCATGCTCCAAACTCCTAACATATCAAAGAAAATATAGCTGTCTTGTGATGAAACAGTTTTAAAAGACCTTGAAAACAAGAAGGAAAATCCTTCACTGTTCCCGTCTTCACCAGGACAGCACACCAGCCTGGTAAACAGCCTCCCTTTCTCTAAGCTTACTGTATTTTAGTTTTCTTTCCCAAGAAGGAAGGAAATGGTTGAGTCAAATCTGAGTTAAGTCACCAGAAACTTGGAAGAAGCATCTATCAGAAGTGTCCCCCAATTTATAATAGAGGTCTGAAGCATTTATTTAAAAATATGTTAATTTATTCATATATATATTCACTTTACATCATTACATTCTACCATACATCAAAAACTAAAGAGTTTTTAAGAATTTTTCAAAGTCCCGTACTGATGCCTTGGCCATCCCTTCACAAAATATTCCATCAGGCACAGATACCAATTTGTCTAAAGAGATGTAGTTAGGTTTTGTCGGGTCATACTGTGCTCTTCCTAAATAGGCAAGAAACAAATGTCTTTCTTTGACTTTAAACAGCCTTGTATTAAATACCTAGAAAAGAAAAAAAGAGTTAAAAAAAAACACTGTACACTAAAATATGAACTATCAAAATGTTTATCTGGCTAAACAGTTTAATAGATTAACAAATATAAAGAATTAACCACATGTTCAATAAATACGGTAAATGCTACAGGGTTTAAACCCTTTGGCTTCTACTAAGAAATTATGATTAAAAATTAGGAACTCAAAACTAATAATCAGAACAATTCTAAAATAATAAAGGGCTGTACTGTAGGCAAAGACCAGACTTATTTGGAGAGACCAGAGGAGCTGTTTAAAAAGCAAACCCGAAAGTCCCACCCCAAATCTACTAAATCAGAAACTTTGAGAGTGGGGCCCACAAGTCCTCTAAGTGATTATGATGCTTTCCAAGCTGGAGAACCAAAGTAAGAGCTGGAGCTTTATGGCATGAAAAATTGTGTAAGATTTCACAGTCTGTGAAGCTTCCCTATATCCCTTTCTTTCTTTTTAAATTCCTGTTGCTCCCTCTGACTGGTATTGAAATGAAATTAACCTGGACTTCAGGGGAGCAACTTAACTGCTTTGGAGTTAAAACTCCTGAGGAATGGGGTAAATACAGTAATTTTAAAAAGGAGTCAGAAGCAGGCTAAATCTGTAAGTCAGCTGCAAGGAAGATGGGAGAATTGCAAGATCTGGCCAGACCTGAATGGAGCCCTGACCTAAAGAGACATCTGTGAGGCTCCCTGGCAAGGCCCAATGAACCACATTGACTACTAGGTCTCAGGTCCTTCCCGTGACTGTATTTCAGATACACTGGGGACACTCCACATAGCACATAACCTCCAAGAGTCTTTCTTTATATTCAAGTGGAAACAAAATAATAATAGATCACTTGGCAAGGACATCATGAAAAACGATTGTTGAAAACTAAAGAACTTTGAGAACGGTGGCCAAAAAAAGTATAGAGTGCTAACTCAACATGAGATTGGCTTGCTTTTGGAATATCTTTTTCTCTCTCTGCAGAAACAAATTATGCACTACTCTGCCTTCATTGTGGTAACTGCATTCTGGTTATCATGTTGTTATTGCTCAAAAGACATAAGAAGCATTTAGATGTTTCTTAAATATGACTCTTCCAGTCACTCTCAGCTTACACAACATACAGACAAGGCCACACATGACTCCGAAGCTCCCAAACTTATTCATTTCCTAAATATAATAATGCTTTGAGGCAATTACACAGCTTATGACTAGATAACTATATTAGCTTCCCAGTGGTTCAAAGTGAATTCATTATCATCGATTTAGATTTGTATGATCTTTCAAGTCCAAAGTCACTGCTCAGATTAAGTTTTTCTCTCTCTCTCGATCCCCTTCTGCCCTAACATGGACTTCAGCTCTGCCTTCACAGAAACCCATAGGGAAAGAGGAGAAACAAGAGATAAGCCTCATTCCTGAAAGTGATTTCTTCCTTGTTATTACCCTCACTGCTTTTGTTACTTTTTACCTTCCACAGTTCCTGCTCTGAAATGACTAAATTAACCATAGTTTTAAAGTTAGAACTGTTTCTCCATTTTAAATTAATCATAAAATTATGTACCAACCAGAACTGTTATTTGCATGAGAAAATTATTTCATACCACTAAGTTTTTAAAGCACCAGACAAAAATTTTAAGGCTACATCAGTTCCCTCACAGTCCTGGCTGTCAGTTAGCCTATGTTTCCATTAATGAAGCTTTTTTTTTTTTAAGGAAAAAGAAAACAATCCTACATAGGAGTCTGAGAATCCTCCCAATGTGGAAGCCACACATCTATAAGCGGGCTTCTCAGAAGCTAGGATCTGGGGTACCTAAAAAAATTCTGTGTTTTTAAACAACTGATTTTGATGCATCTAGTCAAGCTAGTATTTTTCTCTATTTGCAAAGTTTCTGTCCATTGTTAAACCCAACTCATTCTACTGACAACTCAAATGTCAGTCCTTAGAGTAGCAGTAGATCTAGGGTGACAGCATGGGTTTTCAAACTGACTGCCAGAGTTCTAATCCTAGCTCTGGCCCCTGTTACCTGGGTAACCTTGGACAAGCTACTGAATCTCTTCATGCTTAATTTCTTCATTTGGCAAGTAGGGACAATACTACTACCTATCTCATATGGGCTGCTGTGAAGATTAAATGAATTAATACAAGTAAAGCAGTAGAGACAGAGTCGGCATATAGTAAATAAGGAACCAATAGGTGAATTATTTCTAAGATCTTCCTGCCGCTCCTAAATTAAATCAATAGCTGTATATGGTATCTGGCTAAGACTCTAACATAATGTAAAGCGATTAACATTCTAAAGACCTATCTTCCACATTAGATTACAAGTTCCACGAGAATACAGACCATGACTCATTGATTTTTACATCCTCAAATCACATTCCCTTATCATGCGCTACTGTCACGGAATTATCTATCAACCAAGTGGAAAACTGTTATTGCTTTTCAGTTGAAGCTTACTTACTTTATGATGGTTCCATAAAGCCAAATTTGCAACCCTAGAGGCTTCTAACACTTTTTATAATGAATACTTATGCATTTGATGAAACAAAAATTCTCTATTAAGGGCTCATTCACTGTGAAATATGATAGGTAAATAAATGTTGTTGTTTGTGAGGAAACTGTACCTAATGCAGGCTAGTTCTGAGAGTTGTATTAAAGTCATGTTTCATTGCCCACCTTTTCATCAAGAACACATGAAGCAAATGGAGGAATCATTTTAATGCAATTCAATCTTTCATTTATCCAATGAATACTCACTGAGTGTCTATTCACATGTCAAACAGGAAAGAAGGATGACTTTCATGAGATTCATTCATTTGTTCAACAGATATCTATCCAGTACCTACTAATTGGTCCCTTCTAATTCCAGGTGCAGGGAATTTAGCAGTGTATAAATCAGACAAGACCCGCTTTCAAAGAAACATTCTTCTGAACAAGCAGATAATGTCACTCATCAGGTAAAGAACAGGAAAGTCCGATCAGCTTAGAAAACATAATTATGGCTTTGGCATGATGACTAACTGGAGTTAAGAACTACATGCTTTGATAGGAGATCATTACAACATGGCTTGTTAACTAATGGGTTTAGGCAGACTGTGAATAAAATACATTTAGAATGGAAAGAAATCTTTAAGGGAAGTGACCTATTTCCATGTGAATAGAGATGCACACAGGAGAGAACACGTTAGATTCCAATAAGCAGAATGAGGGCTAGATACAAACCACAGGGAAAGAGTCATCACTAATTTTTCCTCCAGAGATGTATATGGATGCCCTTCTCTCTCACAGGTAATCCCGCTATTACATTTGCTAGATTGTGGTCTTAATACAAAGATGGACAAAAAGAAATATGGCCTTATACAACCCAGCAATCCCACTGCTGGGCATACACACCAAGGAAACCAGAATGGAAAGAGACACATGTACCCCAATGTTCATCGCAGCACTGTTTACAATAGCCCGGACATGGAAGCAACCTAGATGTCCATTCGCAGATGAATGGATAAGAAAGCTGTGGTACTTATACACAATGGAACATCACTCAGCTATTAAAAAGAATGCATTTGAATCAGTTCTAATGAGATGGATGAAACTGGAGCCTATTATACAGAGTGAAGTAAGTCAAAAAGAAAAACACCAATACAGCATATTAACGCATATATATGGAATTTAGAAAGATGGTAACGATGACCCTATATGCGAGACAGCAAAAGAGACACAGATGTAAAGAACAGACTGCTGGACTCTGTGGGAGAAGGCGAGGGTGGGATGATTTGGGAGAATAGCACTGAAACATGCAGACTACCATATGTGAAACAGATCGCCAGTCCAGGTTGGATGCATGAGACCAGTGCTCAGGGCTGGTGCACTGGGATGACCCAGAGGCATGGGGTGGGGAGGGAGGTGGGAGGGGGGTTCAGGATGGCGAACACATGTACACCTATGGCTGATTCAAGTCAATGTATGGCAAAAACTACTGCAATATTGTAAAGTAATTAGCCTCCAATTAAATAAAAAAAAAAAAAGAAATATGGCCTTAATACAGCTCTCAGAACTGGACTGTGTTTGGTCTGATTCCTTCACAAACAGCATGGGATTTTCACAAGCCGAGAGCACGGTGTGCTTCCGGGAGTTCTGGACGAGGGGTGACGGCAGCTCTTCAGGGCAGAGAGCTGCGAGCGCCTCACCTGCGGGAACCTGACGATGATGTGGTGGGGCACACACATCACATTGTGCACGTAGTCGAAAATCTCAGTGAGTTTCCTTTTATTTGCAGTCAGCATCTTTGGGATTTTGGTGATCATGTGTTGAATTTCATTCTGCTGAAAACCTAGTTCAAGCCGAAAAACCTAAAAGAAAGTAGGGTTGCGATGAATCACGAAAGTCATTGTTGTTGTTCAGTCCCTAAGTTGAGCCCAACTCTTTTGAGACCCCGTGGACTGTAGCCGGAAAGGCTCCTCTGTCCATACGATTTCCCAGGCAAGAATACTGGAGATCTTCCTGACCCAGGGATCAAACCCATGTCTCCTGCATTGGCAGGTGGATTCTTTACCGTTGAGCTGCCAGGGAAGCCCGTGAATCACCAACACAAATAGTTCTTTTGGTAACAGGCTAGAGGTAACAATTCTTTCAAAACTTAAAGACATTAAAATCTGGAGATGGCTATGCCAATGCCCTTAAGGGTTCATGACTCCTTGTTTCTGGGGTAACCTGAATTTTAAACCTTTCTCTTGAGGATGAGCTACTGACAGCCTGATGACCATCACGGAGCTTACCAAAGCAGCGATCGTAATTACAAGACAGAGGAACAGTGGCCACAGGAGGCCTGGTCAGGTTATCTGCATGGGCCCTACATCACATAGAGTGGCAGGAAGATTATCAAAGTGCTTTCTGAGCCTCTGCTCCCAAGCACACTCCTAATCATGTCATCTGGAAATGCTACGTGTCAAAATTCCAAACAGATGACTAAAAAAAAAAAAAACAAAAAACACTCAAATGTGGGAGAGGTCCTTTGTGTGCATTCACAGTATTCTACGCTCCCCACCATCCATCGCTCTCATCACTTTGCAGGTGACCCCCTCTGCTGGACTGTATGCTCCACAACGGCAGGGTCTGTCTCCCCGGAAAAGGACATGGGCAGGTGCTCAATACAAATGTCTTCAAGAACTGAGTATTGAACACCTCAGGCACCTCAGCAAATAGGCTTTATATAATAATTTCAAATCGCATGGCAGCTGTGGGATACTAACAAGTCAGCTGCCCCTGGTTCTATACAGTAGTAGAGTGTCTGGTGTGTTCTATGCTAGAACGAGAGCTGGCAAGTGGCACAGGTTCTAGGAGAGACATGTGCCGGCACCACCCTCTGGAAAGAAGCTCCGGACGCCGCCGCTCATCTCCCACCCAGGTGACCCCGACACAGACCCTCAACCTGGGCAAAGGAAGCGGCTCCCAGGTCCCACCCGGATACCTACCCTGCTCCTCTAGGATTACGGTGCCAATGTCTGCAAGGCAACTTACTCATGTAACACCCGGTCAGTGTGTAAAAAATTATAAACCAAAATAAACCGCCTGCTGTAATTTATTATTTCCTAGGTCCACCTTCTTCGAAATACCTTCTTTTACAATCTGGTTTTCTTTAAGATGATGAAAGCAAAACCCATTCCCTTCAGAGGACTTAAACACCTCAGAAGCAGGTTTCTCCAAAACTTCTTATTGTCCTACCTTCATGTTTTCCTTCACAGGCTCCAGACTTCCAGTTAGTAGCCTTGGGAGACGAATTACCAGATCTCGAGTCTACAGTTATAAAATAATCTATTATTAATATACATGCATATTCAACTAGTTTGGAAAAAACAAGGCATAACTAGGATATAAAAGTAAAATTTAAAATATGACCCAGGAGAGAAATGCTAAGGAGCCCAGAAATAACAAATACTTATTACTGTTTGAGGAAAACAAAAAATGCTCAAAGTAATAGTTAAGGAAGCAACTTGATGGAATTATCATAAAATGACATAGCGATATCATTAACCTAGCAAGGTAATCCATTCTTGTACAGAAAATACCAGCCATTGATAGAATTCATATGGGCCAGGCCCAGGCATCTGTTAGAAACATGAGCTTTAACTGTTACTAAATGTAGCTGACATGGAAACATACGAATTCTCCAGTTCTTTTTTACCTTCTTCACACTAAGTTCAAGTTCTTTCTGAAAAAATCCCAGTCTGTTATCCAATCTCTCCACTGAAAAACTCAGAAGAAATGGTGCATTTCTGACCATCTGTGCAATATCCGCCTTACTGAAATTTTTTGACTGTAGATAAGCCACCCTAGAGAAACAAAATACATGCACAGATTGTAAATATTTACTAGTGTCTTGCTACCTTCGAAAGTAACAACTGTTTTTAAAGCATTCACAAACCAAAAAAAATAAGTTTAAGCAAAAACATTCTATAATAATAACTCAAAATATGGTTAAAATAAATGGCTTTCCAGGTGGTACACTGGTAAAAAAATCTGCCTGCCAATGCAGATGTTAGAAACAGGTTCAATCCCTGGGTCAGAAAGATCCTCTGGAGAAGGAAATGGCAACCCAGTCCAGTATTCTTGCCTGGAGAATTCCATGGACAGAGGAGTCTGGTGGGCTACGGTCCATGGGGCTGCAAAGAGTCGGACATGACTGAGCAAGCACGCATGCGTGGTTAAAACAAGTACCCATTCGGCTTTTCCATTTATAATTAGAAACAGGAAATATTTCTGAAATCCACTAACAGTCAGTCAGTTAATGACTTGTTTTATTGGTTGGTAAAAAAAAAAAGAAATGAGATAGCTTCTGCTTCAGAATTTTTTTACAAAGAAAGATCATCAAGCATGCAGCTAAGACTGGAAAGAGGAAATTGTTTTTTTGGCTGTCTCACTGTCTCATGGCTTTAGGGTCTTAGGGAACTAAGCAGTGAAAGCATGGAGTCCTAAACTGCCAGAGAATTCTTAGAATGTATTTTCATAAATAATTTTCACTATAGTCTTTCAATATGTATTTTGTTAACAACTGAGAAATTTCCTGCTGTTTCTGGGAATGAAAATAAGGCAGTAAAGTCCAGAAAGTATAACTATAAAGTATGACCATAATGTAACACTATTGATTTTTAAAATCTATAAACACAGAGAAAGTCAGTTTAAATGCCTAAAATATTCTAGGACATTATTTTGTTTGATTCTCATCGGAAAAACAAACCCCTGTAAGTCAGGTAAATTTCCCACATTGCATTTGAAGAAACACAGATTAAGAGAAGTTAAATAACTTGTCTTAGGCCACTAACTAATTACTGACAGAGCTGAAATTTGAACTCAGGCATGCCTAACTCTAGTGACTATGATATTTTTATACCATGTATGAGAACTTATATTTTACACTAAATGATTATTATTCCTTTAAACCAGTCCCTTAGAGGAGATGAGAGAGAAAAAAATTGATAAAACTATACAAAACTTTAAATGCAAGGAAAAAAAAAAAAAAAATCACCAACCAAGTCAGACAAGCGAGACTCTGGGAAAAATATTTACATGTCATAGAGAAAGAACTAATTTTGCTAATGCATTAAAAAATGCTTACCAAAAAAAAAAAAAAAAGAAAAAGAAAAAGGCCCAATTAAAAATGGCAAAGGACACATATCATTTATAGAAAAGGAAATGTAAACAGACATTCAACATATGAAAAGATCCTTCAAACATCTGATGTTCTAAACATCATTTCCAAAACTACAAGGTAATGTTTTTATCAATAAAATAAACTGAAATTATACAGCTCAATGACACTGTATTAGTGAGGATAATAAGGAAGCTGGCAAACGTGTGCACTGTTGGTGAGAGTGTAAACTGGAAAGTCTACATGAGGGGCAATCTATCTATTAAAATCATAAATGCATATACCCTTTGACCTAGCAATTCTACTTCTAGAAATGTGTCCTACAGATACATACCAATATGTATGAAATGATTTCTATAAAAGGGGAGTCACTGCAGCTTCTCTGTGACAGTAAAGACTAGAAAATAACCACTGTGTTTACTAAAAGGGGACTAGACAGATCTGTAGCATGAACTGAAAAAGGTTTAAAAAGAATAGGAAGAGCCAATAAAAAACTATCTCCGAAATAGAGTTAAGAATGTGAGGTGCAGCATAGTTGTACAAATGCTACCAACTGTGTATGTGTGTGCTCTTGTATATGAGTGCATAAAGATTCACATACATGCTGGCGTATGATACAACATTCTTAGCTAGTTGAACAAAAAACTTGATAATAGTACCTGCCTACCTACAGAAGTCTTGCAAGGCTGATGAGGAATAGGAATAAGTAGGCTGGAAAGGATAATTACGATTTTTTTTTCTTCTATGGTCACAGGAGAGACCAATATCTGATTAAAACACTATTGAAACTGTTATCTACTGTGATAACTTTTCCAATAAGAAATTAAGATACAAGGGCCAGGCCAAAAAAAAAAAAAAAATTCTAATAACTTAAATGCACACCATTCATTTGAAAACTCTTAAAAATAATCAACCAACTCTTTTATATGTTTCAAATTCTCTTCACTGAAAAGCAAACAAGTGTATGAACTCAGTGCAATCACAGAAATTCTAGAAAATAAATCTGTACATACCAGAGCCAGAAGCTAAGTTCAAAAAAAGATCATACCTTTGCCTCTTCCAGGAGAAGCTTACTTTTCATTGTATCACCTTTTAAGTTTATGTGGTAAATTACCTATTAAAAAATTCCAAGTAATTCTTTAAAAAATGTTCCAATTTAATTTGACAGCCAGGTTTAGGATCCATTAGACTATACTCTGTATATGAAAATAATCTTTGTTATTCTCATATGTGTATGTATGATCTTGAGCAAGTTAACTTAACCTCCTTTTATTTATTTTTTTCTTAACTTCCTTTTAAATGTATGCTTCCTTCACAGAATTAGAAGTAGGGAGGCAGTACAGTGTAGTAGTGAGGACTCTGAAGTTAGACCAAGTGGATCTGAATCTCAGCTGTGCCACTTGGACTAGCTGGAGCACCTAGGGCAAATTATTTAAACTCTCTCTACCTCTCCCAAGGATATGAATTAATAAAGGTGCCTTGGACAGCCTCTGAAATGGTTCCCAGTGATCTCCACCTCTTGGTATGTACCCTTCCTTGAACTACATCCTGAGCGGAAGGGCAAGCTGGTTTTTACATGGGGAGAGAAGGAGTGTTCCAGACAGTCAGGAGCAGAGCTGGCCACATGACACTGAGTCCCCTAAAACCATTTCCACTCTTTCCGTCCTCTGAACTGTAACAGCCTGTCTGTGTTACATGTGACTGTAAGTCACATGAAGGGAGAGAGTACAGCTAAGTGCCTTGCTTATATAGTAAGGGCTCAAATTGTTCTACTATAATTATGTAAGAAATATGTGTGTTTTTTGTTGTTGTTTTCTTTTTTTTTTTGTTTTCCTAACTCAGAGACCTTCAAGGAACTACGGAGCTCTCTGAATCCAGTAGGAGAACAGTCTGGGTGAGAAGATGAGAGGCAGATTAGTTAGGAGCAGGTTGTGGCATTCTTCACATGAGACAATGGGGACCCAAGGTCAAGCGTTCACAGGGAAGATTAAGATTTGAGAACGATACAAATGCAACCAACAGACCTTATGTTATTTCTTAGATGTGGATGATAAAAGACGAGAGGTCCAAGTTAATACCAGTATTTCCAATTTGGGCAGCGGAGTGGACAGTGCAGTGAGTCTGGGAAAACCTGATTTAGGTAAGAGGTCGGAGTGATGATAAATCCAAGATGTGAACTTAAAAGACCAAGACTCTGTCTTACTCTCTGTGATGTTGCCAATGCCCAGTGGGATTCACAGGTTAACAGTACCTGACTATATCAATTCTCACAAATTCAATAAATTCCTTGAATATTAAGTGAAGTACACAGATATTTATAAGAGTGCTATTAAAAAAAATAAAAGGAAAAACCAAAATAGCCAACTGACAGAAGCAACTAAGCAAATTATACGGTATTTGCCAAAAGAAGGTTAAATATGTACCATCCAACATTGGCCAGAAAGAACAATAGAAAAGATAAGGCTTTCATACCTTAAAGTGTGCTCTCAGATAATTCAGCCATTTGTTAAGGGATTAAAAAAAAACTTATCCCAGTTTCCAAAGAGAAACAGTAAAGTAGTGGCTTAGCAATCAACTGAAAGCATAAAAATAACAATGGGTAGTTGAACAAAAGAAGTAATTTAGATACTTAATTTTTTTAAAGTATTTATTTATTTGGCTGCACCAGGTCTTAATTGAGGCATATGGGATCTCTGACCTTCACTGCAGCATGCGGGATCTTTAGCTGCATCACTTGGGGTCCAGTTCCCTGACCAGGGATTTAATCCGGGTCCCCTGCATTGGGAGCATGGATTCTCAGCCTCTGGACCACAGGGAACTCCCTAGATATTTAATTTTGATCAAAGAAGGTCCATAACAAAGTCACATTCACATTCATTATTTCAGTAGATCCTTATGCTGCTGAGACTTACACATGTTATTTCTTCACAGCCTCTTCTTGGGTTATGTAAAAATCAATCTAACAGCCCTACCTGGTCTTCAGATTTTCAAGGTCTTCAGAGAAAAAAGCATAGTTTTTTGTCAGGAATGGTCCCAGTTGGGTATCCTCTATGCCCAAATCTTTAAGAAACAGGAGCATTTGCTTAATGTCTCTTTCAAAATCCAGTCGCAGGAGGAGGTTGGCTGCATCGGGATGTTTTTCTATCTTGGATAAATCCACTCCTGGAATAAATGACAAACCCTGTGTGAAGATACCTGTCTGGCTGAGTCATTAAATGTCATGTACAGAAACCCAAGAAATTACTGATGAAGGTAAATGACCTGTCCAAAGGAGACCTGAGTTGGGCCAACAGAACTTCTAATTTGGTTGCAGAAATAAAAATACATTAAAAGCCACTATTTCTTTCAAAGTCATCTATAAAGGAAAACAGTGCATTTGGGGCTAAATTTCCACCCATCGTCATCGTCATCTTTATCTAAGGGTTCTTGGATACTGTTTGCAGGGTGCTTACGAGCCCTTACTGATCTCCACGGTAACTGCTTCACTGATCATTCTGCAGGGTAACAAGCCCCATGAACTGCTACTTTCTTTGAAACTTATCATTTTAGTTATAAGCATTACTTTAAAATTTGGCTTATGATTCCCTCCATAGGAGGAACAAAAGCAAACCCTATGTCTCACTTACTGTATTCATTTCATAGGCCTTTAGCATAAAGACAAGAACCTCGAAGGAGCTCATGAAACAGCTCATGAAATATACACAGCTCTCAAGTAACAACAAAGCAGAAAGTATAGTGCCTTCCACCTTCACAAGGTCTCAGAATCTGAGGGAGTCTAAGCAAATGAGACAATGGACAGGAAAGGAAGTCAGAAGGGGGAGAAAGTAACTTATTGGACTTTAGTTATGGATATAATTAGATGTCCACCTCAATTAATCAAAGTAACTTTTGATTAAAAATTCTCACTAAAACTGAGCATTTTATTGTTTTTCCTTTTTATCTGATTAAAGAAAAAAATCAAACACGAATAGGAAAGGCCTATTCCTTATCCTAAACATAATAAGGTATAATTTTGTTTAGACTTAAATTTTATATTCTTTTTCTAAAATTTTATATTCTTAAAAATATTTCTTCAGGTTAAAAAGTAACTCTCAAACTGTTTTCTAGATGTAACTTTACAGTCTTAAATATAAATGCAATGAAATAAAAGCACTTCTAAACCCAAACTTTGTGACATTAAACAGGCATTGACGATAATTAACAGAAAAACAGATTACACAAACACACATACACACAGAATGAAGACTAAAAACAGATCCAAGATGAACTAAAAATCTAGTGTTCAAATAATAACATTTAAAATCAGTGGGGGAAAAGATGGACTGTTCATTAAAACACAATGTGACATCTAGCTATATATTTGAAAAATAATTACTGATTCCTTCTATAGCTGATACAAAAATTAATTTCAGATAGTTTAAGACTCTAAATGTATACTAACTCTAAAGTTACTAGAAGAAAACACAGACTTAAAAAAACTAATAGTAAGTTTGACTACATGAAGATATAAGACCCACTGCATGGCTTTCTGTAATACATGCATTTGCTTAGAAAAAGAAGAAACTACTCAACAAACTGGTGATGGTGGTTACCTTCGTAAAGTGGAACTGGAGATGGAGAGGAGGTTAGGGTTCTTTCTCCTTAATAGCTGCAGTTTTAACAATTAGATGTAATTCTTCTACAGTATAATTTTAAAAATCGTACTAACAGAAAAAGAATTTAAATTAGTGGGTGGGTGGATAAATAAGATAGGAACTATCTTATTTATTTACTTGCTAAACTATCTTATTTAAACAAAGTTCCAAAAATTGGTGATAAATGTGGGAAGGGACGCTTTAAAAATCACATCAAGGGTTTGGACTACAGTTGAACTCAGGATTGCAGCTGACACGTGCCCAAATGCCTCGCTCAGCATGTGCTGTCACGCCCTGCCCTGACTGTGCCGAAACCGAATTCCTCAAAAGCTGCTTCTTAACAGCAAAGGGAGGGCAGAGTCTCACCAGGAGAGCACAGTGCTGTCAGCACAGATCCACGTGGGCTGACTCAACGATTTCATTAACTTGAAAAAAAAAATAGTCACTGATGCCTCTTATGGACCAGGCAACTTCTGCGGGTATAAAGAATGAATAATACATGATGCTAACTCTAGGTGACCATAGCCCTAAGCTGGCTTTGACCCATCAGTTCAGTTTGGTTACACAAACTCTGTGTATCAGCCAGCGTCTGGCAGGCAACAGAAGTTGCCCGAGCAAGTTCAAAGGAAAAAACTTGAATGAAGGGACTCTGTCGAGTGGTGTGAGCGCAGTTATGGGAATAAACAAGGGCACCCCTAGCGCTAAAGAGACAGGGAGGAGGGGGTCTCCTGTGAACCCAGAGGGAGCTGCAAGCTGTTAAGCAAGGGCTGCTCTCGGGAGGAGCCGTTGCCATGGCGAAAGGCATCTACACGACCCAAGACAGGGAGGGGACAGAGGAAAAATGCTCCCACCTGCCGTCCCCTGCCTCCTCCCACGGCTGAGGTTGCTCAGAAGCCAGCTGGCAAAGGAGCCCGAGCACAGAGGTGAGCTCCTGGGATACAGAACAAGCAGAGAAAGGCAGGAAGCAGATCTGAGGAGCAGAGAAGAACCAGGACACTTGGGTCCTCAGAAACACTGTACAGAGACTCCCTGGGTGGCTCGGGGGTAAAGAATCTGTCTGCCAAGGCAGGAGACACGCGTTGATCCCCGAGTTGGGAAGATCCCTGGAAAAGGAATTTTCTTTCAGTTAAAAAAAAAAAAAACTACTTAACAATGGGATCATGGTTCCGACAGGGCATTGTCACTTAAGTTACTGCCAGGACATATTGTTGAAGGATCAGTACACAGATGAAGGAATGGCTGAAACGTATTTCAAAACCCTAAGTATACTGAAGATTATTCAAAGGTAGAGGCCATGTGCCCTTCCCGTGGGACCTCTCCCAGGGCCGAGGACGTCCTGGGCTTCCCTGCTTGCAGCAGATGTCATCTTTCTCTCTCCTCAGAACCCAAAGAACACTTCATTTGTATCTCTTATGTGGAATTAATCACCTTTTTCACACTATTTGACTTTTAGGCATGTGCATGTACTTTGATAAAGATAGAAATGCTAATTTTAAAAATAAGGCAAAAAAAAAAAGTGTGGGTACAATTTATGTACCTTTCATTTTTGAATTTCCATTATTATTTAGATGCTTCTGAAGACCTAAAGCTTCTTGAGGGCAAAGGCCATTCTCTATACATTTGAGTAACTCGCACAGGGCTGATGTGTAAACAACTATAGAAATGTTCTTAGTGGCTAGACTGAGGTAAGCGGGGGCGGACGCCAAGAGCCGAGAGGAGGGTCACTCTGTCTGAAGGGTCAGAGAAGACATTTGGGAAGTCACTTGAACTTGAGTTAAGTTCTCCAGTTGTCAGACCTGGCCAAACAAAAAGGAGGGGAGTGGCAAGCAAGTGGAGCTGCAGGGGTGAGCAAGCGTCAGACCAGGAAGAGCTCAGAAGGATTTGAGGTAGGTCACTGACACAGATCCGCATTTTAGAAAGAGCACTAATATTAGAGAGATTACCAGGGAACACTGCTCAAAGGGAGACTATTAAGTTAGGAAGCTCCTAACTTTTTACTGAAATCTAAGGCGGTGACTAAGACATGAGAGAAACAGACGGGTCTGAGATAATCCCAAGCCTATCCTATTCCTCTCAATCTGGCAATTCATTATCTGGGAATGTAGAATAAGAGAAGTGCCAGATCCAGAGATAATGGGAAAAGCACAAAGTTGCAATAAGGAGCTAGAGTGAAAAATAAAAGAGGACTCATCAAAATTTGCAGGGAGATCTCTTGGCTGCCTTCAACCATCCAGATCTAGGTGCATCCTACTAGTCAACAAGCTAAGATGGTTTTGGAGCACGCCTAGAGACACCATCCAAAGCAGAACAGTGGGCTCCAGAGAAAGGTCAGCAGAGTAGGAAAACGGAAGGAAAATCACTTGAGAGGGTTAGGAAAAACTGTCCTGAGTGGCCACTGGAAGGTATGCGAAAGTTCAAAGAAAACTAAAGAATGCAAAGAAAGGAATCAAACAAAAAACAAAGCAATTACTAACTCCAAGAAAATGGAAGGTTGTATAGGAAGAAAATCATAGCACACTTTCTAGAGAGCAGTGGGCAATATTTAGAATTATAATGGGATCAGTGACTAATGATCTATTTAAAAAATTGTTAATATAGCCTATTGGGAGAATTGAAGAGAATGAAGGGGAAAAGTATGTGTGTGCAAGAGATTAACTGGTATCTAAAACTGACATAACAACCAAGAGCACTACAAGCGATTACATGGGCATTTAGAGAGAGCCTAAGCAGAGACAGTAAAAGCAGACAGTCCAGGATGCAGGTCAGCAGGGATGAAGCTGGGAGTACAGTTTTTCACTGGAAGCCTTTTCACACTATTTGACTTTGAGGCATGTGCATGTACTTTGATAAAGATAAAAATGTTAATTTAAAAAATAAGGCAAAAAAAAAAAAAGTGTGGGTTAGTTAGACTTACCTAGAAGCACTAACTTCCTTAGAGTTTCGGAATGATCCACATAGTCTCGAAGTGTGACTGAAGATGGGGGCAAAGGAGGGCCTGCGATAATCTGAACAGCCTCCTCATCAGAAATCGGCTGNAGGTAGCTTGTTCAAACGACCAAGGAGAGGCAAAGGTGAGTTTTCCGAAAGCTGAAAATTACCTTCTAGAGACATCTCAGAATCAAGGCCGGGTATCTTTGGTGTCCTCTGTGACGGCTCATTCACGGAAGGAAGCAAAGTGTTTTGGGCACAATTAATCTCTTGCCTACTTGAGTCGGCAGACTGGGAACTATTCCACAGGGAGGAAGTCCTGTAAGTCCTAAAACCCCACTGGAGAAAGCAACCCTCAGAGGACACATGGGGCTGAGCAAAAACGCCACACGACAATGTTGTTCCTGGTATCTGAAAATGTTTTCTGAGTTGCAGAGCAGTCATGAAGCTACTCAACTTACTTGAGTCGAGCCATCTGGATATCTGTTGGGCTGACAGGGCCATTTTTCTTAAAGTTGCATTACCATTTGTAAAACAGATAGCCAACAGGAATTTGCTGTATGGCTCAGGAAACTCAAACAGGGGCTCTGTATCAATCTGCGGCCAGGCCGACGCCAGCCAGCCGGACCCCGCCGGCTCTGCCAGCCGACGCTCGCTAGCCTGCCGGCCCACGTGGGCTACGGCCGGAGCGGGCCAGACCATCGGCGCGGCTGCGCAGGTGGGGAGCGGGCGGCGCCCGGCAGGGAGGACAGAGCCGGCCGCGGGGGGCACACGGTCTCCATCCCACGTGGGCGCCGCAGACCCTTCCGATGGGCCTGGAAAGGCGCCGCGCATCCTTGCGGACGACCCTCCTGGGGCCCCGGGCCCGGCAAGCCGGGTCCACCCGCCGCCCGAGGCCGCGTGGACCGCCCAAGGCCTCATTTATTTAAGCCACTCTAGAGAAGGAAATCGCAACCCACTCCAGTGTTCTTGCCTGGAGAATCCCAGGGATGGGGGAGCCTGGTGGGCTGCCGTCTATGGGGTCGCAGAGTTGGACACAACTGAAGTGCCTTAGCAGCAGCACTAAGTGGTTACTAAAGTAACCACTAACTGATATAGAAAATAACAGCAACCCCACAAGGCATCAGGCCGAACACATAATTTTTTTTTTTTTTTTTTGCTGACAAGATAGACGCTGAAATTTGAAAGTGAGCATCTGTATAAAACGAAGTATTAATGAGGTGATTATTTCAAAATTTACCAAAGCCTTTCTCTTCCCCCACCAGCTTCCCTTCACTGGCTCTTCTTTCAGATAAACATATAGGAACGTCCTCACTCCCATTATAGAGCCTGCTCATAGGCGATGCTCAAAACACTTTGCCGTCGGCTGGGCTACCACGGTGATGATGAAGGTGGGTAAACTCCCTTCACAGACCCTAAGTGGAGTTTGAGCAGTGATCAGTTTCACTTATGTCCAAGAATGAGTCTGCCTATGAGTCAGCACCCACGAAAACCCCTATATTTCACTGGGAAGAAAAAAAGCCTGCCTGTGTGTTGGTGGCCTAAGGAGAGCTTGATGAGAATTGTAACTTAAGTAAGGTGATCCTCTCTGGCTCCATTAAAGACCTGGCTCCACCACGAAGCACAGTCACACCTTCATTAAGCATTTTATGAGCAGCACCGTCAGGAGTGCATCAAATGCTGACATCATCCCCAGGCCAATTAAAGGAGCTGTGTGTCCTCATTACGCCCAGTGGGGAAGAGGAAGAATACATTCATTGGGAGAAAATTTTTTAAATAGACTATGACTCCTAAATCTTATACTTTCTAGGAAATATTAGTGCTTATAGTCTCAATTACATTGTTGACCCCTATGATCAAGCAAAGGTACCAACTTGGGAAGTTAAATTGCACCATCTGACTGCTGTCATATCTTGGTGAAAGAATCTCAATTTAATTCCTATCTCATCCCTGTGAATCAGGATTTATTAGGCTCTTGGCGCTGCCTAATTTTGGTTTCCAAGCTTTTTTATATCACTGAAACTTTGGCATTCACCTTCCTTTCCCCCTAAATTTTGCCCATTCCCCTTATTTAAACACAAAGCAACCAGAACAGCTAAACTGACAGTGATTAGTTCCTACAGTAAGGATCCCAAGTGGCTGGCCTTGCTTAGTTCTCCACGGGTCATTGTCATTGGCAGAGCTCTGTGTCGGGTTGGGGAGTTTATTATACATACTCTGGACCTTCTTCTCCACCATCCTCCTCCTCCAGGTATGGAGGTGACTGGGGTACACCAAACCCCTAAAGAGCAAAGCAGGGAGGGGTACCTGCAGTGTCCAAGGCCAGATAAAGTCACCAAGCTGCGTGAGGGGTTGGGAAGGAATTTTATGAGAATAAGCCAGGACTCTGGGGAAGAAAATACTTTGAGGGTGAAGAATTGGATATCATTCTTAAAGGGCAGGGGGAAAATGAATGGGTGAATAAAAGTATAGAATATTTTAAAAATTGTCACTTATCCCCACTCTCAGGACTTCCCCAACTCTTTTTTTTTAATTCATTTTTTAATTGAAGGATAATTGCTTTACAGAATTTTGTAGTTTTCTGTCAAACCTCAACTTCTCCAACTCTTGATTTCTAGGTGGAACACTTGTAAAGCATCTTTCTCCTTGCATTGCAAAAAATTTTCTCCAACCAGCAAGTCAGATAAGATACTTTTAATTTAGTTTTGAAAATTATTTATGATGCCTGGGAATTATACTTCTCAGGTGACTTTAAGGATTATATCTCTGCGCCTCACAGGTGGTGCTACTGGTAAAGAATGCAGGAGGTGTAAGAGACACAGGTTAAACCCCTGGATCTAAAAGATTCCCTGGAGGAGGGCATGGCAACCCACTCCAGTATTCTTGCCTGGAGAATCCCCATGGACAGAGGAGCCTGGTGGGTTACAGTCCATAGGGTCACAAAGATTCGGACATGACTGAAGCGACTTAGCACACACATGCACGTTATACAAAGTAAGGAAACTGATGTTCACAGAGATTATGTGACATGTTCAAGGTTACACAGCAAACTGGGGAGAAAGCAAGGACTAGAAGTCAGGCCTCTTGATTCCTGTTCTAGGCTCTTTCCTAGAAAGAGCCACGACAGCGGAAACAGCGACGACAGAAATCCGGCTGTCGTGGATTTCTAAACACTGGATATTTTCTGGTTGTGAATATCTAAGCAGCAGAGTGTCCTCAGAAATGCTGTCTACTCATCCTGCAGAAGCGGAGTGAGAGGCACAGTCACACCGCCCAAGATGACCCCTGCTCCAGGGAAAGGTGTTGCAGCACAGAGTGCACATAGTGAACTCCGTATTTCGTGACGACGTCATAGGTGTCACCTGTGGCTCCATGACACTTGTGAATCATAGCCCCTGAGACAGTTGTCCTGTGGTCTTCAAGCAAGAGTCAGCAGCCAACCACAACTGTGCCTTCTTAGAAGCGTGCCCTGAACCACCAGCCACAAGAGTGGTATGATTACTTCCTGGCATGATTACTACTAAAAGCCAGCACATGCCACAGCCTCATCCAGGCTCCCCTTTCGAGTCAGAAGTCTGCTCTGCATAAACACTGCCCCTCGACACAGCAGAAGGAAACACATGGGAACCTTGGCATTCCAGGTATGATGTCTAGCATGCCAGCTGCTCCTAAAGGGCAGGAATCCTCCTCCAGGGAACCACAGCATTTGTTAAACAACCTCACTCTAATATGATGCCAAAATGTGTTTTAGTCATGTCTGCTCTCTTTTTTCTTTTTCACCATAATGATTTTCGTACATTTTATTGTAATTTCTTCAAAGCCCCATCTACTGGCTGAAATGATCAACAGAAAGCCCCTAACTTCTTCCTGCACCCAGCCTTGTGAAAATGGCATCTTAGTATTTGATTATTTAAAGTACTTTGAGTCTTTAAACAGACTCACAGACATAGAAAACAAAGTTATGGTCACCAAAAGGGAAGTGGGTGGGGGGATAAACTGGGAGCTTGGGATTGACATATACACACTCCTACATTCGAAATAGATAACCAGCAAGGTCCTACTGTGTAGCACAGGGAATTCAATATTCTGTAATAACCTAAATGGCAAAAAAATTTGAAAAAGAATAGATATATGTAAAACTGAATCAGTGCTGTAAACTGACACTAACACCACATTGTAAATCAACTGTAGTCCCATATAAAACAAAATTTGAAAAATAGATAAAGTACTTTGGGTGTTTGAATAAACCCAGGTGACTGGTTTGGTCACTGACACCAGTGACCATTTTCAACGTTTTTCTGAAAAGAGTGACAAGTGAGACTAAACCTGCCCTTGGTAAAGAATTGGGTCTCTCTAGAAAGTTGTTATTACTGGAATTCCTACTTCCCTCAAAGTTGAGTTTAATTCAATGGGAAAGGATCACCTTTGCCAAGAAAGAGTTTCACAGTGAAAAAATATTAGCTCTGAAGCCAAAGGAATGTGCTTGGTGATGCATTTTACACTGTAAACTCTGGCACATACTTAACCTCAAAGCCTCAGTTCCTTGTTTGTAGAGTGGGAATAATAACAACTGTATGCAGTAATGAATTGAAAGTCGCTGGTGGAATCCCTGGGTCAGAATCAATGCTACCGAACAGCGATAATGACATGAGCATTTTAGGAGAAAACATTTTGTGCCTATGGAAAGGCAGTCCAATATCCCATTGAACTTAAAGTCTATGCTCAGAGCCCTCAACGCATATGTCTTGAATAGCTTCCCACCCAATAGAAGCTGACAGTAATCATTTTTTCTATGATCCCTTTTTGAGGATAACTGAGCTCTACTTTCAGGGAAGGCTGCTGGGAGCTAGGGGAGCCTTACAATCTCAGCTCCGTTTGTCACATACAAACTACCACCGTCCACAGTCTGCAGATGTGGATACAAAGAAGTCAAGAGTTTTCTCTGGAAATAGCCCCCTGGACATGAAATTTCCTGGTACAAAGCTTAAGAAAAAGTCTTTCTTGGTAGCCTGGCATGAGCATCGTCCTTTTTGAATAAACAAAACACGACTATGCCCCTTTTGTGTTGTTAGAAAGCCTGGAAGCCATGGGTCCAAGCCAACTGGATCTTTGGTCTTCCCCCAGGGCAGGAGGACCTGACTCTTATGGATTTGACAGACCCCATGAATCTTAGCAGCTAGAAGATGAAACCTGGATGTTGAATGCACTGGGCACTGCCTATCAGGAAAGAGAGAACAGAACTTCCCTGGTGGTCCAGTGGTTACGACTCTCAGCTTCCAAGGCAGGCCGCCAGGGTTCGAACCCGGTTCAGGGAACTAAGATCCCACACACTACAACGGAGAACTCGAGTGGCAACTGCTGAGCCTCTGCTCTCGGGAGCCCGTGTGCAACAACTAGAGAAGCCCGAACACCTCAATGAAGACCCAGTACAACATAACTAAATAAATGTCTTTAAAAAAAAAAAAAGGAAAGGAACAAGCATGCGAATATACAACTATTTGCCAGAGTATGTCCAAAGATGTTCTAAGAACT